AAAAAAAAAAAAAAAAAAACCTTGAAAAACCCCAATTCCCACCAAAGTGGTGGGAAAACCAATTCCTCAAAAATAAGGAAAAGCCAATCACGTGAGGCTTCATTGGAAAACAAATTCCATGGAATATTGTACCTATCAAACATGACAAAAAGTGGAAAGTTAGAAAATATATTCCAACTCCCATGTAAAATGGCACCTATTAAACAGGACCTTAGAGATTATTCTTTTGATTCACCAACTGTATGTTGTGGGCCCCACCCCATGTGAGGGGTGTGCGGACACTCTATGTATATATATTAACCCTGTTTGGCACACATTCTTATTTCATTCTCAATTTTCTTCATTTCAAACACACATTCTTCCAATAAAATAATATTACACACAAATATAAAACTTTTTATAATTTTTCCACCACACATTTTTCCATCAATCGCTATTCCAAAAATTATATTATCCAAAAAATAGGTGTCAAATACCCTCAATATGTACACCAAGCACCTCCCCAATTGAAGTGTTAGCTTCACAATTTACGAGGACTAGTGAATTAAAACTTGATGGTGGGGAATTCTGTAATCACATGAGAAATATGCTACGGCCCTGTTTGATGGGCAAATAATTCCATGGAATTGGGAATTTAAATTCCATTTCCAACCAAAATAATTGTTTGATGGGCAAAAATTGGATGGCAATTGATTTTCTTGGGAGGCTGGCCATGCTCCTATTTTCCTTAGAATGAGGGAAAAGTCTTTCCCGTTTGACTTTTTTTTTTTACAATAGAAACAAATTTCATAATCAAATGTAAAAAAGAATTTCACTTTCATGGACAATTTTGATGCAAACGAACACTAAACTTTGATGGAAAAAAATGATTTTTTAGGAAATATATATATACAGAAATGATCAAGGCTTGGGACCGACGCTGCAATTACATACAAAGGTTTGGGACCGACTCTGCAATTATGTACAAAGATTTGGGACTTCTACCGCAACAAGTAAAGGTTTGGGACCGACGCTGCAATTACATATAAAGGTTTGGGACTTCGCCTGCAAAAATTAAAGGTTTGGGTGTAATCTGCAACAAAATGAAAGGTTTGGGACCGCAGCCGCAATTTTCCCCTCATTATTTGAAGAAAAATAGAGTAATGAATGATATTTTTTGAAAAATGTGTGGTTGAAATTTAAAGTAATTTTATTGTTTTGTAGGTAGAATATTTTATTTGGTGAATGTGTGGTGGAGAACCTTATTGTAGCAAACAATTTTTTTGAATAATGGTAAAATATGAGCTAAATTTATGTCGAACCAGTAGTAAAAATTTTAAAATATAAAAAAAAGGTAAAATTTTAGGTGAATCGATTCGTAACTTCTTTTTTTTTTTTTTGGACTGTAACTTTTCGATTTTGTTTTTGATTATCAAATTGAAAATTTCATGAAGGAAAATGGTCGAATAAAACATGGTCGACGAGAGCATCAGAGCACATGACAAACATGTTTGGTTAAGCCCATGTTTGAGAGTCATCATTTTTAAATTTTTTTCTACATATTCATTTTTAATCATATATTCATAAAATAAAATTTTCTACACGTAAATTCAAAATTTTTCTTACTTTTTAACCACTCATTATTCAAAAAATCATTATTTAAAATTTTATCTTCCTAAATAATAGTTGTCTTAGTGTAATACTTTTTGGACAAAATATTTACAAATATATTTTATAAGTTTTTTTATTAACTAAAAAGGTTAATTGTGTTAAAAATAACTCGTCTTACTATCAAAATAAGTAATCTATATAATTCTAACTTTAATCGAAAAAAATTTATTTAAAATTTTACTGAACTTTCATGGTTAACTAAGATTATATAATAAGTTGAATTAAAACTGAACCGAATAGAAATATGTAGCAAGATCGATCAACATTGTGAACTAAATGAGCTCTATGGGGGTGGTGAGGCTGCTTAGCTTGCATTCCAACGAGACCTCGTTTAGGTGTGGATATGGTATTAGACTAAGGTAAGAGGTATAATTTATATTGAAGTGTCACGTTTTGATTCACTAGCACAATCCTACAAAAACATCAAAAAGATACACGAGATAAGGGACTATAGGCAAGGTGATGAGACAGCCACGCGGGCCAAAGAGTGGAAAGATAAGCGTTGCAATGCCAAGAAGAGGTCTTGAAACGCAAGACGAAAACCAAATGTGTAGTGTCATAATATGACTTTTTAGAGTATTTTATGAAATAGATGCTTAACTTTATGTGTTTTTTGATTATTTTAGGAGAAACGTCGGGATTAGACGTGAAGGGATGATAAGGAGCAATATTTGATCAAATAGGAGTAAAATTAGGCATATTTTCCAAGTTGGGACCAACAAGTCACGTTTGAAAGTTGAAGAACCTTAATTACAAAATTTAAGGACTCAATCTGAATTAAAAATGGAAACAAGGACCAATTACACACGAAAATATTAAATTTCAACAATTTGAGATATCTTACTTAGACTAAAATTATGATTCCCTTTCCTCTTGAAACTTTATTTTAGATCTAATTAGGTCTGTAAATATGAATATTTCATTTCAAACTTAAGGAAGACTAGAAATACAATCTTGAAACATAATTACACGTCTAACTATATTGAATCCTCGAGGTTTGTATCTCAATTTGAGATTTAAAAGTTGAATCACACAATTGGCAGGGAGACATACAAGCTCCAAAGATGAAATTGACGATCCATTGTTATGAATTGGGTGCCAAGAAACAACAATTGCAAGATTCTTGTCTTTGTTCTTTGTTTTGAATTCGATGATATAATGTGGCTCAAACAGGGGCTCAATTCCAAAATTTTCATGCAACTTTATTATGTATTTATTATTTATTGTACGTTTAATGTTTCTATTACTTGATCACCATTTGAATGCCTTTGAAATAGTATTGAGACCGAGATGTGATATATGATTCTAACTCGTACGACAAATAATATAAAAGTATTATAAAAAATTGAGAGATAGTTATAAACTATGCAATCTATATAAAATTCATGTAAGTTAGCGTTCATATGTGTATGATATAATAAATTCAGGGCATATGGATAAATTTAGTATTACTTGAGAGAGATCAATAGGGCTGGTGTGTGGGTTGGATTAGATCGATTTTTTATCCACACAAACCCAATCAAACATGGCCAATTTAATCTAAAATCAAATCATTCCAACACAATTATTGGTTTAAACCCAACCCAAATCGATCAAACTTGGGTCGGTTTGGGTTGTGTTGGTCGATTTTAGTTTGGCTCCGATTTAAGTTGAATCCAATTATTATTAATTTTTTTTATTTGGACAATTTTTTAAAATTCGAAACTACTTGAAAATTTTCGTTGTTTTAAACCTATATAAGGATTTTTTTTCCTGAAAAATAATGCATAAATAAGTTTGAAACAATTGAACACTTTCTTTTTACAGTTTTTTGGAATTTATTCATTTCATTATCACTTCCTTAATTTTAAGTTTATCATCAGATTATTTTGCATTTGTACGCAATATTCATACCATACAACCTATGTAAAAAGGGACGTTTGTACATTATGTAGATTTCAGTATCCATCTCTTGTCTCCACTACCGTTTCTATTTAGATTTTTCTATTTTAGGTATTAAATTTTTTAATTCATTGGGTTTGTTTGGATTAGATTTTAATTCATAACCTGAGATCAAAACCAACCTTAAATTAGATTTTCCAACCCACCAAAACCCAACGCAATTGAAGTTAAAAATTAGCCCAAACTGGTCGGTTTAAGTGGTTTGGATTGATTTTTGTTCAGTCCTAAAGATTACTAATTACGATAGGTCAATACAATTGTTGGCACATATGCAAAAATTGGTTGAATGAATTCAAATTGAATGAATGTTAAATTGATCTAAGGGTCCGTTTGATTGCAATAATGAAATTTTGGTAAAAAGAAAATAAATTTCAGATAATTGAATTGTCCAGAACTTGTTTTACTGGAAATTGTCAATTAATCGTGTTTGATTGGTATAATTTTTCACCTGAAAAATATTGAAATTTTGGATATTTCGATATTCGTTTGGTTTTGTTTTTCATGAAAAATGTCCATAGAGGGATAAAATTTATTACAATTGGAGATAAAATTTGTTTTCATTGCTAAAAAAAAAAAAAAAAAAAAAA